AGTCTAAATCCCACAGGGATCAACGAACGCTTTTCATTCCACTAATTTATTCATGTTTTTCTCGTTGCCATGCTCCCACCAATAAAGTAGCTCCATTTTCTGCCTTTAAAAGCACACAAAACCCACAATTCCTCTATTCGCTCCGACGAAGGGCTAACGCTCGAAACGTCAGCTTTTGTAATCATTACGGTGGCTAATTTACCATTTCAACTTTGTTGATATATCCAAACAATTAACAATACGTTGAACATAAAGGTTTGAGGACCAGGACACCCTCGCCATTGGGAACGGCAATACAAAGGGATGTAATATCCATGGTGAAAAGAAGTTTGTCTTCGCCAAACAAACAGCTTTTGTTCTCAAAATAGTTGCACAGCAAGAATGCGCACTAAAATCAGATACAAAAAAAACTTATTGGCTTAGGGGTATTGGCATAAGGGTATATGTGGAGGATGGGCTATCTCAGTTTATGATCACTTGATAAAACTGAATTATCTTGCGATAACGCCTCCCCGCCACCTCCCCCACACCGATGCAGCACCGGGGTTTCTTATTCGTTTGATATAAAAAGAAATTTAGATGAAAGTGGTCTTTACGTCCTAGTAACTAATGTGTACATACGTGAGCTGCACAGGTATTTTAGAGGTAAATTTATGCACTTCTAAGTCTTTAAAAAATTATTCATGACTTACAAAGGCTGCTTCAAAACAAAATGATTAGTTTGATTCAAATGATACTCAATCAGCGTCAAAAACACGTGTATATCTTAGCACGACAGTTACGATATTCCTTGAGTAATGATCGAGCAGCTTCTGCTAAAAGAATTACAAAGTTAATCGACGGGATGACGCATTAACGTTCCACGAAAACACTTATCAAGCAAGTGTTTTTCCTGTTTTATCGAACAGGGATAACAAGACAGATAACACAGACACGAGGTTTGAACATTTACGATATCATGCGGAAACCGAATTCAATAATTGTTTTAATACACGTTTACATAAATCTGCAAAAGAAGACTCGATATGCACTACGCCGACAGGGGGCTTGGGAACTAGGCAGACTTTGAACTAAACATGATAAATGCAACATTCGCTGCATACGACTTTGTTTTTGGATTAAATGCTCTCGACCAATCAAAGTTTTTCATCGCAAGTCTAATGCTGAATGATTTGCACTTTAAATTGCTGCAACTGATACTCGATTTTTGTCCCATCTTGTTGCCTGGTATAAAGAGGAGCAGTAGAATGAATGTTATGAGAATTCTTCTAGGAAGCATGCTTACGTTCTCCTTAACCATCGTATTCAGATATTTTTAAAGATGAGATAAAGTTGTGATTTGTAACTTTCCAAAGATTTCAGACCTCAGCTTGACTTGAAGAAATGATGACTGATTTTACCGCACGGTATCGACATTGATGGTACTTTAAAACACCGACTGTAGGGTTGTGAAGGAATCGATGTTTTCACCCTCCCCTGTTAGATGAACCACGGTTTTACATGTACATATCATTCCCTTCATTTTCTCTCTGAAGTTTGGGCTGGAGAGAGCGTAAACAAAAGGATTGACGGCGGAGTTCAACATAACCATCGTGTTAGAAATAACCACAAAGACAGAGCTTATTTCGTAGGACGTAAAGTGAAGTAAATTGTACAACACTTGGATAGTGCCCCAACAGATTGCCAATATTCCACTAACAATCGCCAACAGCAAGGTGAGTCGCTTCCGCACCCTCATCACACCCTAAAATTTTAAAAGTACATGGCCCAAAATTAGAAAAAAAATTACAAATCTTTGATATGTAAGCAATAATACCACGCAAAACTAACAACTGCATTTTAAAACCCAACTTATGGAAAGCCCAAAATTTTTTAGCAGAAATAAAATGCATTCAAACGCAAGGCCGAAGATGAATAAAATATTTCTCCTGATACACTCCCGTTCAATTTTAGTTTATCGACCTTTTTTAAGTATGGTGATTTTTACATTATGCGAGAAATGACACCTTCTCTTCGTTATCCTCGTCAACCAACACCCTCTACATGTATGTCATTTCAAAACATTTACTTTTTTTTGATTACTGATTTGATTTCCATCGTTGCTTTTGAACCATAATAAGGTGTGCACCACTCTTGAGTACAGCGCAACCATCATCAGTAAAGAACAAAATACTACGACATTGACTGCCGAGGTCATAACTTTTGGAATCCACTCTAACCCAGTCCACGTATCCATGCAGATACCGTTGGTTACCTTCATGCCCAAGAACATTGGGCTGACGAACACCAATGAGAAGCAACCAAGATGCAATTATAATGATCTGGAATGTTAAACTGTGAATCTTGCATGAAAAGATCTTCAGAATAGTCATACCTATGTCAGTTCAAATTGCGGAGTCTTCTTAATCGCCATTCGTATGTGACGTAGTACAACGAACCATCCCAATTTTTTTTTCACTTTCCAAAGACAAACGGTAGTTGTAACAACTGGATTGCTCAGAAAAACCTTATTATAACACAACTTTATTACAAATTTGATTTGTAATACTCTTCGGCGATATCTCAGTGTTCCTAAGATCTTAGCTATAAGATCGACCTACAAGTATGCGATCCTTTTTTAAACAAGAAACAATTCTAACCTTGTAGTTGTGTCTGCATGTAAATCCAACTTAAGCAAAGCGAGACAAAGTTACCGAATGCATCTTATCTCGAATAACAATCTTATTGTTTACCATTTACTGCGTTTAGAAAATTCTGTTACAAACCTTCACTTTACGTTTGGTAAGCATCCATTTGTCACCATGTGGATACATCACTGTATAATATCGCTCAATGGCGAATGCGAGGAGAGTAAAAACTGAGGACACTGCTGACACCCATGCAAAGATTCCACCCGTTAACAACTTGCAAAGAACAGTACCAGCTGGACCGTCTGGGTGCTTTACATACAGGCTCACGATCAGTTAAGGTGTGATGGACAAGGCGAACAATATGTCGGCTGTGACCAGGTTGAAGATAAAAAAATTTATGGGAATCCTATTGTATTTACCAAGACAAGAAAACGAGCAAATCACTCTGCTTTCCAAAAGTGTACTACTTACAAGATTTACGGACCAGATGGAAGTGACTCCACGGATGAATGATTGAAGCATTATAGGTTATAAACAGATTTGATGAACAATTCAACAAATTCGCGCTCGAATGGAAATGCCTATCAGGTTCAGAGGCTCAGAAAATATTTGATCCTACCATGGCAAAACGTTTTTGCATTAAAATTACACAGATATGAAATGGAATTTCAAAAAAGGGCGTGTCAAAAGTAAATTTAGATACCTCATATATCGATGTTTCCTTATAATCGCGCAGACGAGAGAATTTCCAACGATATTCATTATAACGAGCATGGAGAACAAGATTGTCACTGCCACACCAGCCATGATGATGGAGATAGAGATGATCTTAAGTTGATATCCTGGCGGACATTCAGAGTAATAGCAATCTCAATACACATGGCTTGAAACAGCGCAAATGTTTGATAAGAAAAAAAAATCATTTACGCATCTTTCATACTCTGTGGGCAGACAATTTAGCAAGCAGTAACTGCATTTACCAAAGCAGGTTACCCATAAAAGACGTTCTTGACACGAAATTACACATATTCATCCATATATAAACCTTCATCAATTTCCCTTAAAAAAAATTCGTTGTCGAAAACGAGTATATTGCCAATATGCCATCCTCGACATGTTTTCTTTGACAAAATCATACGCCATATCGTGTACAGAAGGAAATGTGATCTTTGTTAAATTTTTCACAACATCAATTCGCTTGACAAATTTTGCTCCTCAACAAGCTTTCTTCGACGATTCTCCCGCTATGTCAAAAATGTTTTTCCTTTTCTCTTACTCCAACAATGGAAAATTATTACTTAGAATCTATCAAGAAGAACTTGAGCTGATCCATCATGATGTGGACTATTGTGCTGCAGGCTAATTTTTACACTAACAAATATTTGCAATTTGAGACGACAGAACTTTCTACAATTGCTTTTTTTCTGCAATTTCCTTTTCAAATGCAGAGAGATAAAATTAGTGTTTTTTGCCTTTTCTGATTGCGTTTATGTATTACTTTAACAACAACCGAAAACAGCAAAGATAAACTCTGACTTAACTCAATTACCCTATGATCCTAAAATCTCTTTCGCAGCTAGTGAAACTGTTTTCACCCAGATGGGCTAACGAGCGAATTATGAAGGCAAACGATGTGATGTTCAAACTTGGCCGTTTACTGTTAACGTAATTCTTAATCATTCTACCTGATAAAATAGTACACGCACATGTCCAGCGAGGTTTCAAAACTTTCGCGATTGTTATTTCGTTCCATCTCGAATGTTTTTGTTTTCACATGGTTGTAACAGAAAAAGCCCAGGAAAAGAGTACTAACTGATCTTACCAGCTCCCGTCTTTGATATTGAGTTCACCGTTATCACGGGAAATAGCAACTGTTAGGTTCTTATGTTCTTGTGTTCTCTCTTTAGTCCCTAATGAAAAGCAAAACAATCAGGCAAGCTGCAGTTTATTAATAATTTCGTAGGCTAAAAGTACGTAATGACTAATGATGATAAATAAGAACTGTTATGTTTTTGTGTTCTCTCTTTAGTCCCTAATGGAAAATACAAACAATTAGCCAAGCTGTTTATGGTAATTTCGAAGACTTAAAGTGCGTAATGACTAATAATGATAAATAACAATCCATGATTTAGAAGGCAGTACTTCTTTTAAAGTCGCAGGTAGCAAAAACGAAAGCTTAATCATTCGTTTTCAAATTCAGCAGAAGAAAGGCTCTAGTCTACAAAAGATTTGTCAGGAAACATCTTCGATAGTGCTTTGATACATTCATAAACCATCTTATCTCGAGTACCTACCTTAGAAAATTTGTATCTGAGAAAGCAATAAGCGTGAAGAACAGAGATAAATCAATAAAGAACATAGGAGATTCTTTTTTGTGAAAAAACCGCAAATCTCTTCAGCAATAATACAAAAAATGCGACGACAAGGCGAGACTTGATACATAAGTTATGATAATTCTTTTCAACAGGAGTGACTTCTTCGTTTCGCGGTAAAACGGGAAACCCAAACATCAGGAAGGAATAAGTCAAAAATTATTTTACTTTGCTCTGGGAGACTGAAACAGATTCAGAATATCTATCACTCAATCAACATTCTTTGGAAAACAAAGAAATGACAACTATGGAATAAAAGTCGCTGTATTGTAACTTTATTAAGTGTTAGGAAGACTGATCTCAAGAAGAAACAATCTAGTGTCAGAATGTTGCGGATCCTTCCCCTGACCAATACACAGTGATCACAACATTCAAACTTTGCTCATCAGATTGAGATGAAAACTATCAAGAAAGTGCATTTCTGGAGCTGCTGTAAATATGAAGAATTATTTGAATTGTAATGAAATGCCCCATTCATATAGGTTCAACTTCCTAATAAGTATCATAACAAAGTTGGGATATAACGCGCGCTGACATTTGTTCAAAGGGCGTTTTCTATCAGAGTAAAGAACATGGAGCTGAGCTAAAGCTGTCATGCCATCTGCCAATTTGTACTTTGCCTAGCTTTTTTTCGTTAATTGAAAGCAAAATTTCGGAATTAGCGAGCAGGCAAGTAGCAACAGAAGAACCAAATAAAGGTTTGTAAACATGACAAGCGCAGTAATATGCATGATTATAACGTGTGCACAAACGAAAATCCTCAAAGTGGAAACGAAATGGACAGTCCGAGTTTTGAAGGTTTTCACGCTCAGTTAGATTAAAAACTTACAAACTGTAATGAAAATCAAATACAGCTCACAATCAATTAATCAATCAATCAATACTTTATTTATCCACGTAGCGTCAAGGAGCTCATAGAGCTCGTTCAAAATACGTATGTGCCTCTAAGATTAAGAATCTAAAAAACCTAATACATACTGTCAAAACCTAATTGGAAAGTAAAGCTGTTTGTAAAGTATATATAGTTTCATGTTATAAAAAGAAAATAATTCAAATACTGGAAAATTATAGCCGAACGATTGACGTTTCGGCCATATCATACGGCCTTCATCAGGAAACTGTCGAGTCAGCCTAGGTCACGCAAGTGTCACGTGATAGCTGACTCGGCATTTCCCGTAACGCACGGTCCCACGTGCGTGATAGTACAAACCCCAACCCCCCTATCTTATTAAGAGAAGGGTCCTCTACCCTATCCCAAACAGCTTCTTTGCTGCCACGTCTATCTCAGTTTTTTTCCTTGTCCAAGATCTTCACATCGCTTAGACCAAAGGAGTGTCCCGAGCTTCGTAGATGGTTATAGACAGCCGAATTCTCTGCCTCGATGATACTGGGCCATCTGTGCTGTCCCACTCTCGAGCCCAGTGCCTGTTTGGTCTCTCCAACATAGGTTTCACTGCAGTTTTCATCACTACACTTTATCACTTAAACCACATGTGAGGTCTTATCTTTGTGGAGCTTATCCTTTACTTTTACCAACCTCTGCCTTACGGTGTTACATGGCTTCAAAGTGGTGGCGAAACCGAAGGATCTAAAGACCGACTTCATAACATCAGAAACACCGGTCACATAAGGGATAGTTATCCGAAAGTTCCGGCCTTTGGTAGGCTGTTCTTCATATCACCTTAAAAACACTCAGTCCTTTATTGACAAGATCAGGGAGATCAAACTTTCCCCCGAGGAAACAATTACATCGTATGACGTCTCTGCACCCTTTACTAGTATTCTACCTGCTGAAGCGATCACGACGATTCGCCAAAGGCTGGAAAAGGAAGAAGCCATTGCTGGACGCACGGGCTTGAGCATAGAAGAAGTGGTCGAGTTGGTAGAAATCTGCCTTACCACGAAATACTTTTCGTTCAAAGGGAAATTCTACAAACAAATTCACGGCTGTGCTACGGGCTCTCCTATTTCTCCTATCGTAGCCAATCTGTGCATGGAGGTGTTTGAAGAGAGAGCACTTGGTGGTTACAACGGTGTGAGACCAAGACTTTGGCTTCGCTATGTAGATGACACGTTTGTCGCTTTAGATAAAAACGAAGCTAACAGATTCCTTGGCCACCTGAACAGTCAGGACCCTAACATCAAGTTTACACAAGAGCGGTGTACCAACAACCTGTTACCCTTTCTGGATTGCCTGGTGAAAATTAACAGCGACGGATCTCTTTCGACCAGCGTTTATCGCAAACCAACTCACACGGATCAATACCTCCAGTTCAGTTCCCATCACCTTCTTATACACAAGTTAGGCGTGATACGCACCCTTGAACATAGAGCCAATACCCCAATCAGCCATCCGGACAAAGTAGAAAAAGAGAAAGAACACATCAAGAAGGCATTGAATATTTGCGGATACCCAAACCGGGCCTTCAAGAAAGCATCGAGTTCCTCACAACGTGACCATCAACGACAGGAAAAAAACAGGGGACTGGCCTGTCTGGACCGAGTGGATCGCGGAACTTTCGGATAACTATCCCTTATGAGACCGGTGTTTCTGATGTTTAACGTTTTTTCCCATGCGTGGGAAATTAACGTCTCCTACCCCTAACCCTGCAGGAGACTAGGCCTATGGTTTATTCGTCCTTATCCGAGAAGACTAGAATATCTATCCAATTCTTGATTATAGGAAGGTAGCAAATTCTCCTCACTTATTTTAAGACCATGAGTATTGGTCCGGCCAGTGGGGCGGGAATTTATAAATGCATTTTCCTTCGTAATACGTTGCTGAAAATTATCTGCAAAAACCAAAGGAAATGGCATTTCCAAGACCCTAAATTTACAAACTTTTTTCTGGTGAGTATTCCCCCGGACCTCCTCAGTTTGGAGCCCCTTCGCCGCTCAATATTTTCTACTCGCCTGTACACCTGAGAGATTTCACGCTATGGCCTCGGTTTTAAAGAAGATTTTAACTTCCCGATGAAATCTGAATAATTAAATAATGTGATTACCTGCCGAAAAATAATATACACTAAATAAATGCTCCACTAGCGCTTAAAACACTAAAGGTTTGACAGTTCGTCGGCGGCGTTATGATAACAGCGTAATTCGTTCGTCTACACATACAAGCATTTCGTGTTGGGGGAAGCCACTAAGTTTGACGGATGTGATCTACTATTACTGATCATAATAGAGCAACTATCACAATGACAACGAGATTTGGGAATTTTTATATTTCCCCGCGATGGATATGCAACAAGTAAAACTTAAGCAATGAATTGGAAGGGCCTAATAAACTCCAAACGTTACGTTTGGCTGTTCGGTTTCCTTTCTCAATGTCATAATTTCAGAATATCAGTGATCCCTAAATGCAAGTTTTTACACATTTGAAACTGCAAAAGGTAAGCGCGAGGACCAACTTCCTTCTTTTCTAGGAAATTTCTTTTCTTGGCCATGTCGAAATGAAACACAAAAACAACGGCTGCATGACTCGTTGATATGCTCGTTAAGCGTTACTTGAACATAAGAAATTACTGCTTACCATGCAGCATGAAAAATTTGCTGGTTTAAATGTTTTTAAATTGTCCTATATCTGTGAAAACAACTTCCGGTAGAAAAGTGGTCTCCGTAGAGATTGACTTCTTTAAGTTCAAGAAAAACTCCTAGGAACTAGGAAGTCGTATGGATTTGTTTTTATTTGACTTTTTTGTTACGACAGTACTCTAAAGTCCTTGGTAATTATAATTACCCTCTAAGATTTATTAAGATTTTACTTATTTCACTTATTTGGTTTCTTAAGATTTCACTAACATGGTGTATGCTGTAACTAAACTGGGAATAGAATGGTTTATTATCCAACTCTGCTTCCTAGAGTACAAATAACGCCCAAACTGTGTACAAATATCCTGCGGTATTTGTACTCCAAAGAATCGGTTTAAATTCGCCCGCACTGAAATAAAAAGTTGGCGTGTTGTTAAATGTTTTGTTGTGTAGCATCGCTGAGCCCTACGGGCTCGTAAAAATACGGCACAACTCGTAAAAATACTCAGCGATACTACACAACAAAACTTTTAATGAGATATACTTAGCATGATGTTTACAGCAAACAACCAAAAACTGAACTTCTTGGCTTATTCTTTCGGCCGTTTGAACACTTAGGTGAAAACAATCTCATTAGCTGTGAAACAAGAGGTTTTAGATTTACTAGCAAAGAAGTAAAGCCAGCTTTCAGTTATGCTGTTTTAAGTTACCTTGAAATTTAAGCTAATAAACTCAATGCTAGATGATGAGAGTATCACTTCTTTTCTGTTTATGTCATGCCAGCCAAAAGGTGATCAAATATAGATCTTGGCAGAAATTTTTGTCAACTCAAATATTTGCAAGTATTGATGTTATTCCCCTAAAAATTGGCACGCTACGGCATAACACGGTAGTCTACATTACTCAGCACAAGTCTCGGGACAGATTTTCAATCAATGAATTTTGATAGATGGAAAAACAACATTTTCAACATAAGAGGATTGTCGAGAAAAACTTGTTAATTAAAGATGATATTGCTTTTCTTGGAATCTAGACAGGCAAATTTAACATAGGTAAGATCTCCTTGCTTACATGATCTTCGTATGCTTTGTTCGAAGAGAACATGTCAAGAACAAGTCTCTAAACTCTTCTCAATTCATTTCCCATGGTACTTTGTGATCATCCCCTCTAGTAATTTTACAACCTTAATGCTTCATTCAGCAATTTCGTGTCATGTTCATATGGAAAACTAGAGTTCCCTTTCTAGTTATTTTAATATACTAAGCCGTGACATTCACCACCACAAAACAAAAAAAGTTAACTTAAAATGCACCAAGCACGCTTTTTTCTAAAAAAGGTGCAAATATTTTCAATAATTCTTAGAATTTATAACAGTTCAAATCTTCTTTTTAATGTAGCTATTTCATATTATTGTAATCTGTTATTATCCATATCTTTTATTTTCTTATTTTTTTCTTTACAGCACCTGCATTGATATTATTTTTTTGTAAAACTGATGCAGCAATCCTTTACAAATATGTTTAAATTATCATTATTATTATTATTATTATTAATATTATTATAAAAACTGCTTGCACAGCTAAAATTAGCTTAGATGCCAGAAGGTTTTTATCACTATTGAGGATTTCTTAAGTTAAGTGTATGAGCATTTTAATTTCGCAAAATTTAAATCAGGGTACCCATTTTAAAGGATAGTCTATCCATCGTCATGGGTGATGTGGCAGTGACCACCGTGCTCTCCATGCTTGTTATAGGGAATATCGTTGGAAATTCTTTTGTCTGTGCAATTATAGGGAAACATCGAAATATGAATTATGTACTATTTTATTTTTATTTTAATACACGCACCACTTCTGAAAATCCATTTGGTATATTAGTAAATTTGATCTTCTAAATTTATTTTAAGCTTGCACTATGATGTTTTCCATCTTGCCGTTCTTATTTTTTTTCTAAAACTAGATACAGTAATTTCAACAGAATAACTTACATAATTAACTTGTCATGAAGCTAATCATTGTTATATTAACCTTATTGATATATAAATGTTTCCCCGTTGACTGTGATTGAGGAGGGTAGAGAGCTACAAAAGAGCCATTATGCCTCTAAATGACTTCTATTCTAATTACAGAGCGGATGTGGGTACTACCGAGAGAAAGAATAGCTACGAATATTTACGAAATTCATAACATACCTATTTCTTTTCGAAACATTTCGGTATAAAAGTTAATCTACATGGCCAAAAAATTAGCAACTCTTCCTTAAAATTAAACGAATGATATACCGAAAGGTTCCAAAATAGAAAAGATGAACTTAAAGAAGAGTCACCGGATAAATGATGGCAAAAAGAAGTACATGCGTAACATTCATCCAATTTTTGGGTCTCCTAAAGTGCTCCGAACAAACATCAGTTCAACAGCATCAAAATAAATGATATATTTAGTGGAGTTTGCAGGAGTCAATGAACGCTTCCATCTATTTCAAAGAGACAATAACAGAGCCCATAACCCATAAGAGGTGCACGCTTAGGAATCAGGGTGTTTTTACTTTTTTTTCTTTAATATCTAGGATTCCTATAAATCTTCTGACCCCGGTTGTTCAAAGGATGGATAACGCTATACACTGGATAAATTTCTATCCGGTGGATAGCACAGTACGTTTTGGTAACACTTATCCGCTGGATAGCGATTTATCCGTTGGATAGCGTTATCCGCCCTTTGAACAACCGGAGCCTGATCTTCAACTTAACTATAGCCGACATTTTGTTCGCATTTATTATCACACCAAAACTGATCGTGAGCCTCCATGTAGAGCACCCAGCCGGTCCATCTGCAACAGTTCTATGCAAGTTGTTAACGGGTGGAATCTTCGCATGGGTGTCAGCAGTGTCCTCAGTTTGTACTCTGCTTGTTATCGCCATCGAGCGATATTATACAGTGATGTCCCCTCTCGGTAACAGATGGAAGCTTACTAAACGTAAAGTGAAGGTCTGTAACAGAATCAGTGGCAGGTGAAAGCAAATATAAAATATAATTGTCAATCAAGGTTCGAAGTTGCCGGTAAATTGAATCACTTCATAAAAATTGAATTCAAACATACATTACTTATTCATACATACATACTTATTCTTAAAAAAAGGATCGTACAATTTCTAGCTCCATTTTAGGGTTGGGCTCTAACCAACACCGCGATATAAATTCGTTGGTAAACTTCATAGCTTAAGTTTACTGGACAATTATGTCTTGGTGAGGTTGTCAGGGCAATCCTGATTTTACGACCATCTTTGGGCCCTAGAAAAGTAAATGATGATAATATATATTTTGCCCTGAACGTTTTCTTGGTTTGAGCACAAATAAGTAGTTTTTTTAACGAAACGGTTTAGTGTATGTTGTGGCAAAAGGCTTAAGTCACAATTAAGCCTCGAAACTTATGTGATTACCATTCTGTCACTCGAGGTCGAGAGCACAAAATTCACAGTTTATCATTCTAGATCATTATGATTTCTTCTTGGCTCTTCTCATTGGTGTTCAGCAACTCGATGTTCTTGGGCATGAAGGTAACCAACGGTATCTACGTGGATACGTGGACTGGATTTCAGTGGATTCCAAAAGTTATGACCTTGGCAGTCGATGTCGTAGTATTTGGTCCCCTGCTGGTGATGGTCGAGTTGTACTCAAGAGTGGTGCACACCTTATGGTCCAAAAGCGACAATGGCAATCAAGTAAGTAATCAACTAAAAGTAACTTTATGACATGATGTACAACTTATTTCTCAGCAAGCACAAGGAAGAGTTAGTACTCGCATAATGCTGAATCAGCATGCTTAAAATACAGGCCGTGGTCGATAAACTAAAGATTTAACACGAGTTATTACATCACTCGCAACGCCCACGGGCAAGATAAAGCGAATCCTGTGTTCTGATTGGCTACCCGAGCGGGCAATAAGGCAGGATGGCCCATCTTGCCCACTCGGGACTGCCCGCATCGATCCCGCGCATGAAAAAAATTGAATTAGAACTACGTTTGTAATTCTTCTACAATGTCGGCGATGGAAACGCAAAAAGCGCCAGAAGATAGTCGAAACAAAGAAAACAGAAACGACTTTCGCGAGTGCTACTAACACAGTTGACTTTCTTTCCCGACTCCCGAAGAAAACAAGTCATTCCTAATTCTTAATAAAGCGAGGTCTTTTTGCGATAGATTAAATCCTTTATCAACCAGGCTTGTTTGGTCAAGATGGCTGGATATTAGCTTCGTTCTTTTTTCGCATTTTTATGGACCTCGACTTCGTCTCATTCCATAAAAATGCAAAAAAGAACTTGGTCAAGATCCAGCCATCCTGACTTCACGCTTGGTTAATAACCCATATTTATTAAGTATAAAATTCTTTACAAGGCCTTGTTTTTGAAAGGCTGTACCAAGCTTTAAAAGGCATACTCCGGGACCTTAAGTCCCCGTAACTTTAGGCGACTTAAGGCAACTTAAGACGACAAGCGAATTAACAGAAAAAAAATTTGCGACTTAAGGCGATTTAAAGCCACTTAAGACGACTTAAAGCAATTTTGTTCGACTTAAGTGATAAAAGCTATGTTGGCAAGTCTCTTCATAAACTTTACAAATATCTACAAAATCCCTTGCAATAAACACGATAGTCATTATGGTTACTTTTGTGTCCACACAAGTCACCTTTGTCTAAAATATCCAGATTTCAAAAATATTTTGGCTCCAAATACTTAGACAGAATTACCACAATAGTTATAGTTCAATTACATGTATATAGTCAAAGCTAGTGAATAAAAAAATGATGGATTATATGCCTAGAGTAATAATATCAAAATATCAAACAAAACTTACAAAAAATATACACATTATGACATAAATTTTAAATTTAAGAAAAGAGCCATGATTTGCATAAAACTATCAATAAATTTTTCGGCATAGAATATCATAGAAGGGGCTCAAACTGACAAAGAGGAATTATGCGAAAATACTATCAAAATCTTAAGATAGATAAAGATTTATGCCATAAGTAGGTTCGTCGAGTTAAAGTTTTAACGTCTAGATTTGGTCCAACATGATGGTAGAAGTAGCTGGTGCAGATTTATGGGTTTATGCTGGAGAAATGGGCCACTTTTGTCAATCTTTTACTTTAGGTAAGTAAGATGTCTAAACTTTACCTTCCGTTCAGCTTAATTGACTTTGGATGATGTTATTTTATTGCTCATACCTCATACCAGAATACCTCTCTATTTTGTTTTATGCTGATGATACGAAGCAATAAGGATTAAAAAATATTGTAGTCACAGTCATGTGTTATCCTTTCATTTTCTTGTGATCAATCATTCTTTTATATTTACTAATTCCTGATGATAATACACAGTGTCACCTTTTGATCAACGTGTTCACAATGAAAAAAAAAAGAACAAGACAGAAATTTAGTTGAAAAGGATAGCTGTCTGAGTAAGAAAAAGGAAGAGTGCACACTGTCATATTTGATATATCAGTATTACCTTATTAGGAATTACTCGTGTTAACACGGGGACTAGACAGGTGCATGACTATTATAACAGGGAGTTTCCATGTACAGTATGGAAGCCATTAGCAACCTCGCATCCATAGTTCCCAAACCACTATCCATAGTTACATCCGGAAGGGAAGTGATAAACTATGATAAAAACATTGTGGGAATGAAAGTCCGTAGAAAGCTTACTTGCCTGGCCTAATCAGATCTTAGCAAATGTAAATTAACCTTAAAACTTGCAATTTCCAGCGACAATAAACCTAAGCTTGATTTGAAGAAGTCGAGTGGTAATTGTAAAGCGGTACAGGTACCCTCACTTGTTGGACGAGTCGTGGTATACATCAGTCCTTTCACTTTCTCCTTGAGGTTATGGCTGGACGGAGCATAAACAAAAGGGTTGACGGCGGAGTTGAACAGAACCATCGTTTTAGAAATGGCCATAACGACAGGACTTATTTCGTAGGACGTAAAGTGAAGTAAGTTGTACAACACTTGGATCAGTTACCCCAACAGATTGCAAATATTATACTAACGATAGCCAACACTAAGGTGACTCGCTTACGAACCCTCATCACATCCTAAAGTATGAAAAGTAGAGGGCCCCAAATGAGAAATAAAACTTGTTTCAATATTTGATATGCAAGCAATAATACCAGGCAAACTATAGTCACTACATTGTGGCACAACGCTTTAAAGAAGAAACATAGCGCATTACTTTGAAAGGCCTACTCTGGGACGTTAAGTCGCTGAATTGCCTTAATTCGCTTAAATTTGCTCTTGGTTACGCAGTGTTATAAAGGCTCCACCCTTTTCCAATTAACCTAATTCACTCCACTCCAGTCATAAAGATCAGAGGAGGAGGTATGGTAAAGCAGCCCAGGTTTGGTCCTTGGCGGGGGATCATTGCACTATGTTGATGGACAAGATACTTTGCTCTAAAAGTACCTCATCTACGTTAATAATAGGGATGGGATTTACAGCATTTTACATTACTAGAGAAGTTTAAAATGTATCTTAACACTCCTCGATTAAAGAGGTATAGTGCTTGCTGGATTAATCTTTTGGACGAGTTTTTAAAGTCTTCCCATGGATTATTAATTTTGCAGTTTTTTAAGTATAGGCTCACTGATTGTCACTTTAACGTCAAAGTTTCATGGCGTGAAAGACACGTTCAATTCGCTTATGTTTATATCAGCATCAGGGAAGTAAAGGCTTGTATTATCTAGATTCATTCTTAAAGGAGTTTGTAACATCATTTTACTTCGGATCAATTATTTAGCTTTGTGTTTGGTGACATAAATAGAGATTTTTCCATGGAAAGTGCTCACGAACGACTTTTATTGTCCGACTACACTCCGTAGAGTATAAATATCACCCAAGACGAGTACAAATATCACGCGGTATTTGTACTCCGGAGAACCGGTTAGACAGGTTTTCTCGCATCGCGCAAGCGACGAATTGGATTAAAGTTCCAAAAAAGGATATTTTCTGAAATAAAGCATGGACATTATAATAATAATAATATTTAACGAGGGAGCCCAACTCGCCATAGCGGTTTTCAGTATGCTAGAAATCAAGTTTAAAACTGCAGGTAGTTTACATAGATGATTCTAAATTGTGTCATATATTACCATTTATGAGGCAACTTAATTGTGCACTGTTAAAAAGACCGAGTTTTAGAAGTCTTAACATTGAGAAAGTACCCTAAAAAAGTAAGCCAAGTCAGATTTACACATTAGGTATGATGTAAATCGACAACATTTCTGTGAGAAATGAAAGAAATGAAATTAAAAAAGAGACAACATTTTTTACAGCAGATTTTTTTTCTTGTACTATAGCATGTCATTTAACTGGCACAGAACAGTGGGAAACAGGTATGTTTCTATAAAATGGATTAAAAACAGATACACTTAAAAAAGTCAAAGTGGGATAAACTTGAACATAATTTTAGTCACTCAATACTCTAATTGAAAAACAAGAGAGATGAACAATTGGGTGTCATGTAAATGAAGAATAGGATATTCTATTGTGGTAGAGTACAGTGTGATATAGATCGACTGATAGACTGGCTGACTCATGCAGTTTCGTAACATGAAGGAATGGAATGCACAATAACTAGTGGTCTTGACATTCATTCAACTTTGTGCCAGTACATTTAAGCTGGGGTTGTAGAAGAAGATATGAGTTCTTTAGGAGTTCTGGATCTGAATACTCGAGGTATGTTGTAAATATTCAGTCAATAATATAATGCACTTATGTGCAGGGTTCTCACTGGATGATGACATTAAATAAATTTCCACCAGATAGTAATAATAATATTCTTGCCAAAAGTAGCATTTAAACCTGAAATAGATAACTCAACCTTGCTTATGTCCTAGGTAGCTATCTGATTCATCATTTCAAACTAGAGCAAGAGTTTGAAAAAAGAACTGACCCTTAGAGGATTTTGGCACAGATGTCCTTAATGGATGACAGTTCAATTGAATACCATTACTATTTGTAAACCACAATCATAATAATTTTGTAGTGCCATGGAGTGTGGACAGATCACAGGATGTGCTTTACTGTGAACAAGTGCTGATGGAGGCAGCATCAGCCCACGAGGATATTATCCTACCGATCTATTTTACCTTGACGTATGGAGAGGTTTGTGTTAAATAGCAGTCAATTTGGTTCCAATTATGTTTGCCCAGATGGCTTGCAATTTTCATGGACAATGTTCTAAATAAATACAGTTAGCATGCCTAGTTGTCAATGTGTTGAGTTACTGACAGGTAAAATGTATTAGAAGTCACATTTGAAATAAAATTACCGGTAGCCTGTAAACTTTTCTGAAGCCATATTCGTCATCGTGTCAATTTCACTTGCTGAAGAACAGAATTTTTTGGAAAAGTATACTAAAGTTACTGTCTGTCAAATTTCATTTCTCTAGCTGACATATAGTCCTCTTGCATGCATTGTAATGCACTGTGTTGCATCATAATACCAAAATAAATAACATTAAATCTCACTCTACTTTAATTTATAAAATTTGTGTATCTAGATGTGTCACCAGACCAGGTCTGACCAGAGAATCATGGTCACGGTGATCCTAAAAGAAGGTAACAACATACCTGATGTGATAAGGTGACTATCAATAGTTAATAAAGGTTATTTTTATCTCTAAAAGCAGGCTGCACTCTTCAGAAACAGCTTCTGATTACACTAAGTCACAGCGACAAATAAGTAGGT